TTCTGGTCCCCGCGAACCTTGCCAGCTCGCTCTGCCCGCTTTCCCTGATTAGCGAATGAACAGCTAGGATGACGAGTGGACATGGGTAAGAGCCCTACGCTACATGTCTATTGACGCTAGTAAATATACATTTGTCCACACTTTCTCGCCCCCCTCGGAGCATGTATCTTTGTTCAAACCACCCCTCTCCCACCTATGTAGAGTATAGTAGTAGCATCCGACCGCGGCCCTACCTGGACAGCAGCGGCCGGCCTGTCGCCTTCCTACCGCTGTCAACTGGGCCCTGGGAATGTGCAAAGTGCACCAACACACCAGTCACTGCCTACCTACCCACCTAGGTGGTATGTAAGATGGGTCCCCAGGTACTGTTCGGTACGTACCGTACCTCTCGGATGCTCTACCTACCTACCTAGGTACTTTGACCTAAATGTGGAACCTCCTCTTCCTGTCGCTCGTCTCCTCTTGGACGTCCCAGATAATCAACCACTGTCGAGTCCACGCGACGACGAAGCCAACTCCATACCTATAGTGAACGATACCCTCGACTCTCGATTGGCCTTCGTCCGCCGAATCATGAGAATTTCTGTTTGCTCTTGCGCCTGCCCAATATCCCCAGCAACGTACACCTTTGCATTGTAAACCTCACTGCTTCCGACCCTGCTGCACGCCCCGACCTCCCCAGATACCTCCGACGTGTTGAGCGAGAGACAGAGAGAAAAAAAAAATTAGGGAACGAAAAGCCCGAACCCGCCGATCTCCTTCATCAAGTCTTTTTCCAAATCCGCCATCTGGACCGGGGAATAACCTCAGTCTTCGAACAGGCCCATGGACGCCTCAGCTGTCTTCCGCCATGGCCTGGGCAACATGATGCCTCGAAACCTGCCATACCATCATCATCTGTCTCCTAACCCTCCCCCGCAGCTCTATCCGGGCGGCGGGCGCCCTCCCACTGCCGGTCGCGAAGATCCCGAAAGCGACGCCACTTCAAATCGCATTGCACATACTTTGACGGCTTGCTGTCGCTGTCGTCAGGTACGTAGAACCCTGGCTCTTGCACGTCCAGTCCCTCTTCAGCTGTCCCACCATATGAAACGATGCCATTCCTAGACCCAAATCAGCGCTAACTTTCTCTCCTTCGTAGCGCAAGACGAGATGCGATCCCACTCTTCCCCGTTGCCTGCCTTGCGAGAGGGCCGGCTCCGTCTGCGAATACTTTGACACCACCAAAGGCAAGAAGATCAACCGTAACTATGTTATCAAGCTCCAGGAAAAGGTGCGCGCACTTGAGGCCGAGCTGCGCCAATATACCGACGACGACAGCGACTTCGCCCATGTCGACGAAGATATTGTACGCCCTGGGGGCATGGTTCGCTTGAATGACACCGACGAGACACCCCGTTACCTAGGCCCGAGTAGCGGCATCGCAATGACCCGGTTGCTCGTCCAAGGCGCAAAGTTCTTCACCGATTCGAAGCGAATATCCGAGTTGATACCCGAAGTACGCGCGAGGCGGATGACTCGCATGCAGTCCATCGTTATGACGAGGGACAGGAAGAAGAGCTATCCCCTGATCAGCGCCCACCCTGCTCAAGCCTTGCCCAACAGGCCAGTCGCAGACAAGCTTGTGGATGTCTTTTGCCAGCGATGTAAGTGCTTTCTATCCATAACCCGCAATCGAGCCGACTGACGCCACTACAGCCCAAGTGTTTTGGCCCACGTTGCACGAGAAGCAATTCCTCGAAGATCTCGAGGCTGTGTATGCGGGAGATCAAGACCCCTATAAGAACCTGATTGTCCGCATGGTCTTTGCAATCAGCCTGCAGAAATTGGACCCCCAGTACGCCGGTCTCGCAGATAGTTACTACTTGGCCGCCATGGAGCATTTTGAGCAGGTCGTCCGGCCAAAGGATCTGAAATCCCTTCAGAGTCTCGCAATGATTGGCCAGTATTCCCTCCTGACACCGACCAGAACCGCGGTGTACTACATGGTGGGACTCGCCACCCGCGTTTGCCAGGCCGAGGGCCTCACAGATGAGAAGACCATCTCTGCGGGCTACTCGATAGATCCGCTGACCCTCGATATGCGCCGTCGCCTGGCCTACATCATCACCTCGATGGAGGCCGGCCTGGCGCACAGCATGGGCCGTCCGAACGGATTCTCAAAGGTGGACGACCGCATGGATGTCGAGCCGTTTGCGACCGTCGACGACGAATACATCACGGCCGACGGCATTGGCCAAGGACCTCCGAGCGAGAAGAAGCTGGTCGCTTTGCACTTCTTCAAGATGCGCATGGAGCAGGCCGAGATCAGGAGGGTGCTCTACGAGAAGAAGCGTGACGAGCCCAGGGACGAGAACCACCCTTGGTTCGCCAAGATGGAAAGAGACATTCAGAACTGGATCGATTCCTCACCGCAGAATCCGGCGTGGTGTAGACCCTGGTAAGCACAACAGTCCGATGGTGTTCGCGAGGGACCAAGCTAATCCTCCACCTTCAGGTTCACCGGGCGATACCATCAGATGCGCATCTTCCTCTACCGCCCATCTCCGCAAGTACCCAGACCATCTCCACGAGCCGCTGGCATCTGCTTCGAGGGCGCGGCATACATCATCAATCTTTCCAAGCAGCAGATGGAGAAGGCAGCCGTTGACATCACCTGGGTCTTCCTCTTGAACCTGTACATGTCTCTCAACACGCTGCTATGGACCGTATCCTACCCTGAAATCCGGCAAGCACACCCTAGGGAGGAAGTAGAGGAGTTGGGCGACCAGACGCTAGACATCTTGGAACAGTGCACGGAGCGGTGGCCAGGAACCGCCCAGGCTGTGCAACTGTATTCCATCTTCGTCAAGGCCTGCCTGCAGAGCTACGAAGCCAGAGACACCCCTCAAATGCAAACGTCCAGCACCTTTACCACTCCGCCATCGCTGTTCGACGGCAACTCGCCGCAGGGCTCTGAGGGTTCTGCCTCGACGGCACCTGGTGGTGGACCGTCATTCAAGGTCAACCAGCCCCACAACCCGCCTCAGTTCAACTTTGTCTTTGACGCAACGCCCGAATCCATGAATACGTATCAGTGGGATCCCAATTTCCCCCCTCACCCGACTTTCCGGTCCAACTCAATCTGGGGCTCGTCCAACGAAAACACGGGACGTCGCCTTTCTTCCACGTACCCTCCCGAGTCACCACTCGAGGATTCCACCCCGCCGGCGACAACCACGCCGGCCTATACATCGTCGTCATCGCCGCCCAGTACCATCAATAATGCGATGCCTACGCCTCCAGACTCAATGGGTGGGCATGTCGGAACACCGTCCAGTTCGACCATCTCGCCCCCGCCGATGGGGACCCCCGCAATGTCGCACTCGTCGCCCCTTGGTCTCCAGCACGGCACACCGAATATGGCCCAACACAGCACGAACATGTCACCACCCCCGCCGCCCGTCCCAGGTATGGGAGCCAGGGCGCAGAATTTTGCACACCTCCCGACGTCGAACCCCGCCGGCCCCCAACGGCCTCTGCCTCACTACAACTCAGGCACGGACTGGTTCAACCCGCCTCCCCCTTTCATTAACCCCGATACCTTCAGCTCCATGGGTAACAGTTACTTTGGAGACCCTCTACCGGCCAACGGCTTGCATCCACACAGCACCGGTATGGGACTTGACCATTTTGGTGGCCAATCGTTCAGCTGGTCGCAGGAGCGGCAGGGTAGTCTTAGCCAGCAGCAGCAGATTGAGCTGATGAATGCCCTCGAGAACGAGGGCATGAGCGACATTGACGCCCTACTCATGGGCATGAACGGTGTTCCAAACGCTGGGGGCAGCAATTGGGCTCACGCTTGAAGCAGACGAGTTTTCGGAAGCGCGAGGACAACTAGTAAGCTATATGGGATCTTGCAGGCTTTTTGCGGTTTAAACTATGTGTCTTTTTTCTTTCGCGTTGGGTACGGGTCCTGAGCGTATATACCACGGAGTCTTGGACGATAGAGCGATAGATGGTGTATGGGATTTGCGGACAGCACTTGCCGCTCGGTATAATGAGGACAGAACTGTTAATGAATGCACTTGCGTTAGAAAGGGAAGCCGGTTTACGAGGTTCTATGGCTGCCCGCTCATTGTGGATTACCTGCTTTACGTACCACCAGATCCATCCGCCATCATCGAGTATCACAGCTCTGAATTGCATGGATATTATGGGCGTCATATGTAGCACCCTGTCGGAAGGAGGGAAGGAGATTTTCCTGGCTGCTACTTCGTTCGGTACACCCAATGACGCACCAACCCAGTACCTATCTCCCTTACCTACCTAGGTAGGTGAGGTAGGTGCGTGAAAATAGTTCTGCCGCTCCTTCCCTAACTACGCCTCGTCTACCTGGTGAGTGTTATTAGTCCCAAGGTAGGCAGGTACATACCTTATTTACCCACTTCCACTTTTTCCCACCTCTTCCTCCACCTCTTCCTCCACCCCCTCTCACTTCGCAACTCACATTCCACCACATCACCACATCATCACATCCCGCCATCAACCCTTCTCACCCTTCGGGGGAAGGGGGCATCATCTCGCAGTGCCACAATACTTCGTTCCGTCGAAAAAGTCACGCCGATTCCTGGTAGCTCGCGCGGATCGGCCTCGTTAGCGGGGAGCAGGCGGTATTTGCACCGCATCACACAGTTCCTGATGAACGAACAACGTTCAGCTAGGTCGTTGCTCACCATCGCCTTCCTCCATGACTCACTTCTGATGCACTCGTTGACTTTGACCCGGTGGTAAGCCCGTCTAGCAAACGTTCTCAGATGGGAACCCAGTACTCGGCTCCATGCCCATTGGCTCCCGGCCTTTGGCAGCATGTCCTCGAATTACACCCTCCCATCACAATCTCTCGGTGTTTTCCCAGTAACTTAACAGGTGCTTTCTGTGGGTCACTGGAGACAGAACGACGTACCAAAAGAACCACCGCTCACGCTCTGCGCTTTGAGTGCTGCTTCTCTCGGTGTTCCCCAGTAACTTAGCAGGTGCTTCCTGCGGGTGATGCAACTTCCACTCAATAGCCAACGTAGTCTTTGACTATGCTTTCGCATCATGGTTCGGAGCTTCTTGCCTCAGCGAATCTTGGGCCACTTCGGTCTACCGTGGATCCATTACATAGTAAAGCGGCGGCACAAATCACTGACATCGACACCCCTCGAATTGGACCTATTCTTTTATTCTGAGTAGCTGGGGAGGCATGACGACATGTCAAGTGTCCATCGAAGCTTACGCTGACGAAGTCCCGGGCATCATCGGCCGTCCAGTTTCCATCCCCGTTTCCATACCCCTCTCCATCCTGACCCCGACGTTAAACTGCCCAACGCAATGCAGTTCGAAGGAGAGATTACGCTCCGGCACCATGTCCTTCTTTACCAGTTGGCAGCATGTGCTTACGTTCTTGTCTCCTTTATCACAAGTCCAGGAAGCCTCTTACTGCCGTTTGACCAGCTGTCCTGTGGCGGCCAAAGAAGTCCAGTGGGCATCTCGAGTGGAACGGCACTCATCACAAACCACGAGACACAGTACAATCAATGCGATGGTGTCAGGATGGAACCATCGAAGACAATCCCGGGCAAGATTGAGAATTGTCCTCGCGCCACAACATTTCGAAACACACACCAACCCTCATGCATCTCATCATCTTCAAGTGCCTCCATAGTCGATACGGGCACGAAGGGGGAAGAACCATACGGTCTGTTTCTCCCGTCAGTCATGGGAACTTTCACTTCAGGTTTTTCCATTGTTTGGGGGGGGAGGTTAAACTAGCTATCCGCCCAGGGGAAAAGGATGACAACCCAGACTCTCAGGTTTCTTTTCCACTGAGTGGATGGTTTGCTTCGGCCGGTGTGCATAGCAGAATTCTATTCTTTCCCACAAATCCATCTATGCAATATCGCCCCACTGGCCGTGACATGCGTGATCGCGATGCACATGGCCGTCGGACACCTTGAGTTCGTCGAGTGTTTTGATATATGAAATGTGCATTGCGCAGTCTGTGACACGGAGGCATTGACTTGAATCATGGCAAGGCCAGGTAATTTCAGCAAGCAAAAAGATGTTTTATATACTTTATATACTGAGGACGAAGGCGCGAGAAACACACCGACGCGTGGAAATGTAAGAATATGTACATGAAGATGTCCGCGTGCAGTCGTTTCGTAGGAGATGCGTCCACACTCTTTTACCCCCCGCCTGTCTCAGGAAAGAAAGAAGAAAGAGAAGGAAGATGGAACCTTTACCCCTCTCTGCCTGTATCGTTTGTCGCGGCGCTCGCTCTCCCCGTCGGGGGGAGGGGAGGGGGTATCTAGAGACACTGGCTGTACCACTGGTTGACGACGGTGCAGGTGCTGCCGGAGGCGCAGGCGAAGGGGCCGGTCCAGCCCTGGCCGCCGCACTGGCCGTACTTGGGGGCGACGGCGCCGGTGGGAGTGGCGGAGCGGGTGGAGGTGGTGATGGTGGGGGTGGTGCCGGGGCGGGTGGTGGAGGAGGAGCCGCCGGCGGGGGGCGGGGGGTTGACGACGCTGCCGCTCTTGAAGGTGGAGTTGATGGGGCCGAACTTGATGTTGGAGAACTTGACGTTGGAGTTGGGGACGCTGGCCTCGATGTCGGCGGGGACGCCCGAGGTGGTGGGGCAGGAGCCGCGGTCGGCGCCGGGGCTGCCCGGGGTGGCGGTGGCGGGGAAGGTGGAGTCGAGCCAGAGCATGTTGGAGTTGTGGTCGTCCCAGAGGGAGAGGACGAGGACCATGGGCTTGGAGACGAAGTCGTTGGTGCGCTCAAAGCCGCCGCGGAGGTTGAAGATGTCCTCGTCGCCAAAGGCCGTCTTCTGAGCCTTGCAGAAGTCCGAGGTGAGCGAGTTGCCCGGGTTGCTGGCGATGGTGGACTCGGAGTTGGCCACGACCTTGTCGTTCTGGACGTAGAAGCGCTTGATCTCGGAGAGGGTGCCGTCGGCGCCCTTGAGGAACTGGGTGACGACGGTGAGCTTCTTGGTCGTGTCGAGGGTGAAGCCGGAGCCGGGGCCGTAGAAGGACTTGTTGCCCTGGCGGTACGAGTTGAAGTCGCAGCCGTCGGGGTCGCAGTCGCCGGCGTAGCGGTCGCTGGAGTAGGTGCCGCCGCAGTCGTTGTCCAGGCAGGAGTGGTACGCGTTGTTCTGGCACGGGTGGGGGGTGTAGGCCGTGGAGATCTTGTTGGCCTCTGTGTGTCGCGAGTTGGTTAGTCACCCGGCCAGTTCGATACAGGTATCAGGGGGTGAGGGATGGAAGTGGTATCGTTTCTCTTACCCCAGATGTCCATCTCAGCGCAGCACGCGCCGAGGCTGCCGACACCACCGTTCTGGTCATTGCTGCTGGGGTTCCAGCCGTCGACGTTGGCCTGGGGGGGGAAAGGAGACACTGGTCAGTATCTTTTCGATATTGGTTGGTTCAGCAAGAAGCCTCGAGAAAATACTTACAATACCGTTGATGAACTTGACATCGCGGGGGCACTGCGAGTCGCAGTATCCGGTACCGTACTTGGCGCCGGCCTTGTTGGAGGAGAACTTGGAGAGACCGCCGTCGGCGTCCATGGAGACGAAGTACAGGGCGCCGTTAAGGCCGCAGTCGATGTTGGAGACGTCGACGTCAAAGGTGAACTCGTTGCCGAGCAGCGTGAACATCTCGTAGGTGGAGGCGTCCTTCATGAGGTAGACACGGCTGCCGATGTTCTTGCCGCTGCTTGCGGTGGTGACGAACTTGAGGTTCAGCTCGTTGCCGCTGGTGGTGATGCCGTAGGTGCCGGAGTAGTCAGCGCCGTCGACGCAGCACTTGGAGGCGCAGGAGGCGCCCTGGCCCGAGGCGCAGTAGTCGCTGTTCCATTTGTTCCCCGTGTAGCAGTTGGTGTAGCCCTCGACGGTGTGCGCCCACCGCCAGTTCGAGTCGAGGACGACAGAGCCGGCGACGTTGGTGCAGGTGCCGCCGGCGGCGCACTTCTGCCACTGAAGCGACGGGTGCGTCTCGGCCGTAAGCGTGCAGACCTGCTGGGCGCGGGCGGCGGCCGCGAGAGCCAGGAGGGCGGCGAATTTGGTCTGCATCTTGGTGGACGATGAGATGGACTACTCGGGTTCTGGGTGGAGAAAGCGAGGAGGGGAGAAAAGGGAAGTAGGCGATGTGGGTGGGAAGAGATGCGGATGGGATGAGAAAGAAGAAACACGATCCCAACGGCGAGGGTGTTAACGGTTTATATAGAGACTTGGTTTTCTCCTTGATACAAAACACCCGCGATGTTCGGATCTCGGCTAGATGTGCCAATCCATCCAGCTTCATGAGGGAAGCTCGCCACCGATTCCGCGTCCGTTCCGCTCATCGGGCGCAGGCCCAGCGCAACCTCATGATCGACTAGGTTCATGACGAAGGGGGGCGAGGATCCGACAGCCCACGGCAACCGGGCCGCCGCAAACGACCCTGATCCAGGGCAACAACAGCTCGTCGGTGTCGAGGAGAGGAAGAGATCAGTGTAGAGAGGCGGGATCCAGGCACGCTTTGGCGACTCCCCGCTCCTCATAGAGGGAGGTAGCTCAGGGGAGAGGGTCGGCATCGACGGTGACGGCGACGGCGACATTGTGCAAAGGGTGGTGTGTAGGCGTGCGACGTAAGTGCCAGGAACCGTTTAACCATGAACCAGATGCCTCGTCGTCGAGCCAAAGTTTCTCGCCTGCTTGCCCGGATGGAGAATTGGAGAACCCGCACCACTTGAACTTGGAGTACAAGGGGGGGTGGATGGGGCAGCGTTCACCCCACACCCGCGGGCTCATCTCAACCTCAGTCCCGGACGAGTCGACCGCACGATGTGACCCTCTAGCCATGCGGCTAATCACACACACAAAGCAAAGGGAGCCAGACAACAAGGCCTCCCGATGGGCACATCATCTACCCTGGCCTCCCTTATTGGAGCGACTTCACGCCCCCCCTGTGTTTACCGCGGAGGGCATGCACCGAGTGCTACCAGCCTCGGATTCATCTAGGTTGCGCAGCCCTGGGCCCTTTTCGTCCCCCCTCTCTCTCTCTCGCAACCAAGGGAAGAGGGCGCGCATCGCGAGATGCTCATCTCGCATATGGGACAGGGAAAAATAGAAAGAACGGTCGGCATGTTCTTGTGACCATGATCACTTCCCGAAGATCCCGCCACGTCCCTGCTGGTCTGGCCTGAACCAGATGTATCTTGCTCGCGAGTGCCCCTAGACGGCGAGCTTTCCCCATACACACGCACTTACACACCATCGTGAGCACCAGCCGGTGCAGCTAGGAGCCCTTCTGGAACAGCCCCCTCGGCCGTCGACTGTTATCAATCATGAGATACGCGAGTCTGCCGCCCTCGAGGAGGGGAGCAGATTTACTCCCCGCATTTTGCATGGGTTCGTTCCGCGCAACCCCCTTCGCACATCACAGCGGGACGAGCTGCCTTCCCCCGCACAGCACTACTAGGCCATCCGGCACTAGCTGCCGTGCCGCTCGTTATGGTACCTTGCTTGGGGGCAAGACGTTGTTCTCTATGTGTGTTGGTCGCTCTAGACCTATTGAGTGTCGGCAGACTTCACCAGGGGTTTCTTTTAGTTGTTGTCGTACCTAGCGACAAGGAGCGAAACTAGCATTTCGAAGCTCGGACGTCGTCAAATTTTCTTGACAAGCGAAGCGGCTCTGAACGCCGATGCTCTGGGCCAGCTTGGCTTCAAAGTCAGGTTATTGATTGATCGACGCTCGCAATCAACGTCTACCAGACAGATAAAACTCAAGAAACCAAGAAGACCAAGAAGTTATTGTAGGGTCGAAGGGAGCCCTTGATCCAATCTGGCGGCGGAACTACTCCCCCATAACAGATACCATTAAGGGCAGGGTGCTCACCACACCACTATCGGGGGTTTGGTCACATTACTCTCTGTGCTACACTCTGTGCGGTATTGCGGGAAGCCAGTCTGTGTGTTCATCACAGTACAATGTGACTGTGCGATGACCCATGCTCGGCATCCTGTCCTTAGCTGGTAAAGAATCTCAGGCAGGGTGAGACCGCAGGACTCTAACGTGCCTGCATCGCAACTTGCTAAGGACACTTCCGATTTACCCGTGATAGCCCAAGAAAACTAGGCCCTCTGGGCAAACGAGGGTCGAGAAGCTTGAGTTAGCCTGCAGTCGTGGCAGAGGCCAGAGTCCGACCCGAACACGGGGCGCAATGGACAAAGAAAAAAAGGCCCGACGACAACAACCTCGGCCGGAAAGCGCGTACTCCTCTATCGATCAATTTCCCTGGCTGAGTCTTGCGACATGTCCGGGTGTACATGGGAACAATCCTGCTCGGTGTCCAGCCGAGCTGAAGCTGGGACATTTTCGCCTCTGGGGCTTGGGTTTCCGAAAGACCGCAAGCAAGACAAGATCAGACGGACCGTTCCACGACGAGCACCAGTGTGGCCGCGAGTAGCGGGCATCGATACCGAGCATCGCTGTTCTCCAACTGTAAATGACCGAACCAGTGGGCCCGGTCTTGTGGATCCCAATAACCGTCTTTACGTTGCTCTCTGGCGATTTCAGATGACTTCATCTTAGGATTACACCTACGCCACTAGCGGTTGACAGTTCCGGATGTTGAACAAAGGCCTCAGGGGGAATAAGCGAGCGCACAGGGTTCATTGGGCGGGGATACTGTTAATCATATGTCGCTTGTCAATGCGCAGAAGTTCCCGCGAGCTTGATTGATAACCCCCCCTGG